TGAAGAGCTGAGGGACAGCGCCCAGGCCCAGAGTTCAGACCCCATGACTGGACCCAAAAAAAAAAAAATTTCTATAAAACAGGAAAAAAATTTGCAGATTTTTAAAGTTCTAATGAAGCTAAATAACTAGTCATTTTCTTTGATTTAGTTGACGGCAGGTTTATTTTAATGATAAAAGATGTATTCTAGTTTACATGCTCTTGTTCTTTTGGTCATTTCTTGACAGATACAATAAAGTCTGTACTGTCTGTGTGTGTGTGTTTTTCTTCCCCACTCTCCCTTTGGTGCTGGCCCTGGGCTTGAACTGAGCGCTGTATCTGAGCTTTTTTTTTTTTTTTTTTTTTTTTGCTGAAGGCTAGCGCCTTACCACTTGAGCCACACAGCTCTCTCTACATATGGCTATTTGGTAGTTAACTGCAGATAAACGTTTCATAGACTTTCCTGACTGGGCTGGTTTCAAGTTGTGATCCTTAGATCTCAGCCTTCTGAGATATAGATATGAGCCACTAGCACCTAGTGATTTCCCCAGCCCCCCCCCCTTATTTTTTTGCTAGTCCTGAGGCTTGAACTCAGGGCCTGGACACTGTCCCTGAGCTTCTTTTGATTAAGGATAGCACTCTACCACTTGAGCTACAGCACTGCTTTGGCTTTTTCTGTTTATGGTACTGAGGAATCAAACCCAGGGCTTCATGCATGCTAGGCAAGCACTCTACCACTAAGCCACATTCCCAGCCCCTGGTGATTTCTTTTGAGACTTTGCAGTTTCAACTTTTCACATACAGGCTTTGTAACATTTTACTGTTTATTTCAATTCTTAAAATATTTGCTCCAGCTAGAATTTGTTTGACATAGATCTAGGTTCTTTCCTGGACATTACTGTAATTGCTGTGCCACTTACTAAATCATTACCCTTTCTGGGCTTTGTGATATTTTGACTACATGGTAAATTGTATTTAGGGGTTAAAGCTTTCAGGCTTATTTTGGCTTAGGCATATATTAATTTTTTCTTTTTTTGTCAGTCCTCTGGCTTAAACTTGGGGCCTCAGCTCTGTCCCTAACCCTCTCTGTGCTCAAGGTTAGCACTCTACCACTTGAGCCACAGCTCCACTGCTGGCTTTTTCTGTTTATGTGGTAATGGGGAATCAAACCCAGGACTTCATGCATGCTAAGCAAGTACTCTACCAGTGGGCCTCATTCCCAGCCCTAGCATTAATTTTGAGTATTTTTTATTATTCTTACAAGAATCTTCTATTAGTGTGCTATATGGCCATAGAATTTGTGTGTGTGTTATTGGGTGCTGGTGGCTTATGCCTGTAAATCTTAGCTACTCAGGATGCATAGATCAGAAGGAACATGGTTTGAGGTAACAGGCAATTTCCCAGACTCCATCTCTGTCCCGACCCACAGGACGTCAACAAGGGCAGTGAACCTAAGCTAGAAGGAATGAAGGGACAAGAGACATGAAGAATGACAGCAAGACAAGGATTCTGATCAAGCTGCAAATTTTTATTTTTCACACAGGGGTATTTATATGCTTGGAATAAGGAAGCTTTTTCATTGGCCGAAGCAGTGCAGGATGTTTGCTTAGGGCAGGGGGAAAGCTGGTCTTTAGCAGTTGCAGGATGTTTGTTTAGGGCAGGATGAGGGTCAGATTCTGTAAACTCAGCCTCAAGATGTTCCAGTGAGGTAGTCAAGCCTATTATGTTGAGAGACTCAACTTTTGGCTCCTGACATATCTCTACCAATAGCTAGCTAGGTGCAGTGGTACTAGCCTATCATCCCAGCTACAACGGGAGGCTGAGACGGAAAGGACTGTAATGCCTTACTAGCCTAGGCAAAGACCAACCAACAACTCAGGAGACCTCCCTATCACAACAGAAAAAAGTTGGGGGTTGTCTAAACTGTGTCAGAAAGTGTAAATCAGGATTGTGGCCCAGGCTGACCAGGGCAAAAAGCTAACTCAAAAATAACCAGAGCAAAAAGAACTGGAGGGAGGCTTAGGAGGTAAAATGATGGCGTAGCAATCATTGAACCAAGTTCAAGCACTAGTGCAAAGACATGTCGTTCTCTCTAAATCATCTTACAATATTAACACAAGAATAGCCATTTTAAATAGTTTTATTATGATTAAGATGTTGTACAGAGGGATTACTATGTCATAAGTAATGAGTACATTTCTTTTTTTTTTTTGGCCAATGTCATCCTTTCCTTTGCTTTCCCCATTTTCCCCTCCTGTCCCTGCCCACAGGTTACATAGGTCATTTTCTACAGTGTATACTGAATATCATGATTACCTTTGCTAACCCTTCCTCTTTCCTTTTTCCTCTGTACCTACCTCCCTACCCCCCCCAAACAAAAAAAGCCCCAAAGCAAAAACAATCACCACCACTACCACTACCCCCCAAAAATCCTCGTTTCCTTTTGCTGCAATTTGTTTTGATAAATAGTATTTTAAAAGTTCAGAGAAGTTATACTTTGGGGCTCCTCCCCTAACAGTATCCTGATTTAGTCTGTGTATGAATATGAATGCCCAGAATCCTGAATGAATAACATTATTATGTCCAGTTGTTTTTTTTTAGTTCATTTTGATAAATATTAGATCATCAGAGGCATAGAAGCATCAGGCCTTTGTGTTCCTCCCTTGAGTATCCTCCTTTGGTCTCACTGTGTGGCTAGAGTCCTGTATAATTTATCATGTTCTAGTGTATGCTAGATCTAACTTCCACATGAGAACATAGTCTGAGTTTGGCTTACCTCACTCAACATGTTTTTCTACGTCCAGCCATTTCCCTGCATGTGACACAACCTTATCCTAATGTACGAGTAAAATTCCATTGTGTATATGTACCATGTTTTTTATTGACCACTCATTTAATGTAGGGCATCTGGGCTGTTTCTATAACTTGGCTATTGTGAGTAATGCAGCAATGAACATGGATGCACAAGTTTTACCGTATTATGACTTATAATGATCTGGGTAGATGCCTAAGAGTTGTATGGCTGGGACACAGGGATGATCTATGTTTAGTATTTTTTAAATATTATTTTTATTTTTTGTGGCCATGGGACTTGAACTCTGGGCCTGGGTGATGTCCCTGAGCTCTTCAGCTCAAGGTGAGCAACTCTACCACTTGAGCCACATTGCCATGTCTGGTTTTCTGGTGATTAATTAGAGATAAAAGTCTCATGGACTTTTTCCTGCCTGGGCTGGCTTTGAACCGCGATCCTCAGATCTCAGCCTTCTGAGTAGCTAGAATTACAGGGCGCTTGGCTTCTTTACTTGAGGAATCTCCAAACCTCCTTCTAGATTGGTTGTACTAGTTTACATCCCAACCAAAACTGCAATAGGGTTCTTTTTTCCATATCCCAACCAGCATTTGTTGCTCTAATTTGTGATATTGGCCAGTCTAACTGGGATGAAATGGAATATTTTTTTATTTGCATATTTTTTATGGTCAAGGATTTGAACTTTTCCTTGTGTTTATTTGCTCTCCCTACCTTCTCTTTCCTTCCCTCCCTCCTTCCTTCATCATCTCTTTTTACCTTCTTTGTCCATTTGATTTTTGTTAGCTCTTTGGGGGTAATTTTAAAAATTAATTTTGTTGGTCTTAGGGCCCGAAATCTGGGTCTGGGCTCTGTCCCTCAGCTCTTCAGCTCAAGGCTAGCACTTTACCAGTAGAGACACAGTGCCACTTCCGGCCTTTTCTGTTTATGTGGTACTGAAGAAACCAACCCAGGGCTTCATGCATGATAGGCAAGCACCCTACTACTAAGCCACATTCCGAGACCCTAGGCCGGTTATTTTTTTTGCATACTGGTTATTTTTGCCCAGGGAATAATGAAGGGAAGGGGAAATATTCAGACTGGCCTGGACTTAAGATCTTTCCCTTTATTGCTGGGATGATAGCCATTAGTTGAGATGGAACATGCCAACTTATTTTTTGTCAGTTGTGGGGCTTGGACTCAGGTGCCTGAGGCTGTCCCTGAGCTCTTTTGCTTAAGGCTAGAGGCCTACCACTTTGAGCCACAGCTCCACTTCTAGTTTTTGAGTGGTACATTGGAGACAACAGCCTCATGACTTTCCTGCCTGGGCTGGCTTTGTGCTGCCATCCTCAGATCTTAGCCTCCTAAATAGCTAGGATTACAGATGTGAGCCACCAGGCCCCCCTTTACAATCTTCTTTTCAATCCCTTTTACAATCTTGTCATATCATAGTTAAAAAAAAATCACAGATTGCCTCAATAGTGGCATAAGTTTTAATAGTTTTCAGAATATAAGCTGCGTAGCTTTTTACAATAAAAAATGATATAACTTCAGGTACATGCTTTAGGACACTTGGTTAAACAAGCAGTCTGTGTCTCAGGCCACCGCATAAAGGTGGAAGACTTCACAGTGTAACTTGAAAACAGCATGGAGATAGATGATGCATGACACATTGCCTCCAAAAGAACATTCTGACAAAACATTAAATAAAGACACAGCATACAGTTTCAAGTATTCAAGCACTGCTTTCAAAACTGCCCTAAAACCACTGACAAGTTTTGTCTGAAGAGGAAAAAGATGTAGCTGCTTAGTTCCTGTGGACACAGCATTTCTTTTCCAGAATAAGACTGGCTTTGTGCAGCTTGAAAGCAGTGTGAGGAATGATTCTTCCCCTTAACTGTTTAAAAAAAAAAAACACAACAAAAAAAAAAACCTAAAATAAATTACAACAGGACTATGGCACTGAAGAGAATGAAATAAAGGGAATATCATCTTCCCATCATTGCATAGTCTCTGGAAGTGGCGATACTAAAAAGCCACTTTGTTTTTATGCAGCACAAGGGTCATCTTTGCAGAGCACTTGGGCTCCCATAACATTTGGTTGCTTTGTAAGAACAATAACATCCTAAGCCTCCTGCCTCAAAGAGAAGGCAGTACTTTTCACAATCAGCATGATAAGGAAACAAAGTCAAGCTCTCCAGAAAACTAGCTATGTGAGGACCACACTGGGCTTGGCAAGGCAGAACTTATTATAGGGTCAAAAAGGTAGCCCAACCCCCTGCTACAGACAGCCATTAGGAAAGGTGTCCGGGGCCCCTGCAAGAATAGAGCAAGTGCTAGGTTCCCTGTACTCTCAGCTATGAGATAGGAACACTGCTGCTCTTTCACTGTCGAGGTGCAGCAAGGAACTGAGTTTTCTCTAGGTATTATATTTTAAAAACACAAATGTACATTGCAATAACGTTTTTGTAGGCTTCGGATGAATTAAAAAATCAGATCAAGTAAAGATAAGCGAATGTCTTGTTTGGAAGGCCTAGTCTCATTTTGGATTGCTCTGTCTGTTCTAGGGTTGGTCAGAAGCTGCCACCAACTCAAACCACTGCCTGAGGGCATCACTGAGTGTCTCAGGAAGTGCGTTCACATCGCGAAGAATGATATAGAATGGGAATGGAAATTCTTCCATGTAGGATCGGATTTCAGGCATCTCTCCAGGTCCTTTAAATATTGGTACTTTAATGTCCAAGATAGAATCCTGTAAAGACATTACAAAGAAAAAGGAAAGCTGAATCAGGCCTTTAGCTATTCTGTGTCTTAGTCCACATATAAAATTAGGTTTCCAGGTAAAAGGTAAAAATTATCAGTGAGGCAGATTTGTTTTTTCTTTCTTGGTGTGCTGTTATTAAGGCTTGAATCTCAAATGGCTTTTTAAAAACTAAAGTCTAGGCACTCTACTTCCAGCTTTTTTTAACTAGAGATGAGAGTCTCATGGACTTTTTTTTTTGCCTGAGCTGGTGTCCATCCTCAGCCTCCTAGTAGTTTTATCTGTAATCCTAAATCACTGGTACCTAGCTTTTTGTGCCCCTTTAAAGAGAGGGGATACCTTTAAAAGGAAGGAAAAGGGGTAAATAAGATAATCTCATTTTTATGTACCTAGAGAAATTTCCATTAAATCTTCATGTTATCCAGGTGTTAACACATTTCTGCAGCTACAATGCTTCACTTTTCAGTAGGAAAGATGATCCTTACCTTACTGGGTTCTTTATGGAAAGTGCATAGAACCACAACTCAAACTGATGAAGCAAATCAAGCCATGTTTCAGAACATGGTGGAAGGAACATCTCTTCTGCTTTTAGAAAACAGCTTTATTACCAGTCACTCACCCGTGAGCTTGGATTGTCCAACACAACAAAAATAACAAAGATGTTAGCATTCCGAGAGGCCTGAACTGCTGCCAAGACTCTTTCTTTGCCCTCAAGGAACAGGCCTCGGCCATCAGAGACTATTAGGAGTAGTTGTGCAGTTTCTGTAGAACCCATGAAAGAAAGAGGGAATTACAAAAACTGAGAACATGACAGATTAAGTATAGGCTTTCTTGTACTAGTAAAATCAAATGATCTCTAGTAAAACTGATGAATTCTGAGCGTATCTATACAAGGGCTATCTATCCTTAGATATATTATTTAGAAGATTAGTATGTCTTGTGTCTCCTATTGATAATGCAGAATTTTCCAAGTGGTAGTGCTTCAGGTAATTTTAAAGAAAGCAGGTATCAATACAACAGCACTCAATCCTAGAAACATGAAATTGTGTCTTTTTAAAAGTTCAGTCAATATCTTATATCCAGTTTGTTTTTTCTTAATAGTGACTCATTTAAGAAAAAAGTTACATAGAAAGTATTTTAAAATCTTCCAGTTGAAGATTGCCTGTCTTTGTCAAGGAACTTTAGCAAGTGTTGAAAATTGTGAATGAGGACAGAGATTTTGGGATGTTTCAAAGCAAGAGTGGTTGGACTAGTATATTCTTTTTTTTTTTTTTTGGTGCTAGACCTACAACTTGAATTCATGGCCTGGCACTGTCCCTGAGCTTTTCTGCTCAAGACTAGTTCTTGTATCACTTGAGCCACAGCTCAGCTTTTTTGGTGATGGACTTTCTTGCCCAGCCTGGCTTTGAACTTCAATCCCAAGACCTCAGCTTCCTGAATAGCTAGGATTACAGGCATGCGCCACCAGCGCCTGACTTAGCTTTCTCTTTAATTAAGATTCTGCTCTGCTTCTGTCTGATCTCTACAGTAAACTCCACACATCCTGTAGATTTCTTTCCAAACTCTGAGCTACTTTCTAGGTCCTCTCTATTAATTAGAAGCCCTGTTAATATGGTAATTATAAGCCTTCTGAATAATGATTAATTTCATTATTGCATAATGTCCTTGTTTTTCTGTAGAACATAAAGATGGTGGTGACAGGTACAATGAGATAAATTTGGTAACAAAATGAAAATGCAGCTCACCTGGATTAATGTTATGTGAAAGTTGCTGAGCAGCTGCAAACATGTTGGGTACAGCCTCTAGAAACTAAACCAAAACCAGACGTAATTAGGAAACTAACCTCTTTTAGGACTGTAGGGGCTGAAATGATTTCTGACGTTCAATTATTGCCAAGCTATCCCTTCCCGTACAGATGATCCTTATATTGCATTGCATTTATATGAATATAGCATTCTCAAGTATAAGACGTGTGTCACTCTCCTTCCCCCTTAGTTTTTTTTTTGCGTTTTGAAAGAGGGTCTTACTATGAAATCCAGGCTAGCCTCAAACTTGTAATTCCCCTTTAGTGTTCTGAAAGACACCTCCCAAAGGAAATTCTTCCTTGGGGAAGAAGCAACATTAACACCCATGATCAAAATAGCTTTTTAAAAGAAAATAATATTGCTTGCTTTATTTCATATCATTTCTTGTTTAGGCTAAATGGCTTAGAGAATTGTTTCTGAACAACTGATAGGGTGAATTAGTTTGTCTTTGTAGAATGTTCCGAACCATAAAAAATGGGAGAAAAAAAAATATCAGTAGTTAAAAGTCACAGCTTGGTTTATAATGGATGCCAGGGAAACTTCTAATGTAGTAGTATACAGACTGAGGTTTAAGTACTATTCAAATAGCATCAATTTTACAGAGGGCTCAAAACACTTAGGCCTCACCAATTTAAGTTTAGGAATAACTGCAAAAGACACTGACTCATTTAAAAATGGTAACATACCTGAGCAATTTTGGTTTTCTTTTGCTGAAATTTGCAGAGCCGTAGTATCTGGGACCCAGAATAATCACTGAACTGCTCATGGAATGGGTGTAACAGCTTTACTGATTCTCCAAAACTTGTGGGATAAAAACCAAATACAAAGGGATTTTTTGGGGGGGAGGAGGAAAGGGTCATAATCAAAATAGTAAAATTGTGTAAAGTTTTCCCACTGGGATTAAAAAGCACCCTTACCTGCACACTGCAATCTGACCCACTTCCAAGAGGGTGAGAGCATTTCCAATCACTGCCAGAGATTCAAATGCAAGCTGTGAAATAAAGTCATGGGTTTAAGGAATCATAAATTCTCTTAAGCTAGACCTCTAACACTTGACCTGTTATAAAATTAAGATTCCCACAAAAGATGCCATCAATTCACAACCAATCCAGAGGCTGTAGTGATTCTTTGAAGCCACAAATACTAAAACCTAGAAATCTTATCACACAAGAATAGTCTACTCAAGATGTCATCTACTAAAAATGTAAGTTTTGAGAAACATGGTTCATTATTTTTTTCTTTTTTGGAGTGGGTAATTTTTCAAAGGATCAAAATATTTGAGACATGGTGAAATTGTACTTTTAAACTCTCCAAAATTGACATCATTTCAAACAACTTATTTTCTCTTCCTTACCTGTTTGGTATGGTTGTCTAACATACTAGAAGAGTCATCAATAGCCAAACAAATCTGGTACTGGCGTTTACTGGGCTTGGTCCTTCGAAGCCAAATCTTGTCTTTCCGAAATTGACTAGCAATGTATGGAATGACTTTCCTCATGTTCAGTCGCTTTCCTGTCCGATAGTCTCCTCTATTTACCAAAGAATGGAAAATATTAGTAGTTAAGAAGTGCTCATTCCTTAGCATTTTCTTTTCTTTTTTTAAAATTGTTATTTATTTATTTTTTTGTTGGTCATGGGGCTTGAACTCAGGGCCTGGGCACTGCCCCTGAGCTTTTTCTTTTTCTTCTTTTTTGGTCCAGTCATGGGGCCTGAACTCTGGGCCTGGGCGCTGTCCCTCAGCTCTTCAGCTCAAGGCTAGCACTCTACCACTTGAGCCACAGCACCACTTCTGGCTTTTTTCTTTTTGCTTATGTGGTGCTGAGGAATCGAACCCAGGGCCTCAGGCATGCAAGGCAAGCACTCTACCACTGAGCCAACTTCCCAGCCCTAGAATTTTAAGGATAAAAATCACATTAGAAATACCTTGAAACTGACAGTTACATTTTATTGTGCCAGGTAACTATTTGGTATTATCATCTAAGGACTAAGAGTCAGTGTCTTCTTGACCACCAGCTAGGAACACTAGTCATGTGGACTAATAATTAGGTACTTCTAGAAAAGCTAGGGCATTAAAAAAAAAAAACCTGTACAATATTTTGTATGCAAAAGTACAAGCCAGGCGCTGGTGGCTCATGCCTATAATCCTAGCTATTCAGGCTGCTGAGATTTGAGGATCGTGGTTTGAAGCCAGCCTGGGCATGAAAATCCGTGAGACACTTAAAACTACTCAGAAAAAGCCAGAAGTGGCGCTGTGACTCAAAGTGGTAAAGTGCTAGCCTTGAGCCAAAAAGTACCCAGGTCCTTAGTTCAAGCCCCAGGACTGGTACACTTACACACTTACACATGTACACATACACACCTGCTCTCTCTCTCTCACATATACACAACAAAAATACAATGTTGGGCACATCTTTGAAAACATCTAGGGCTGGGCGGGGGATGAGGGATGGGAAAGGGGAAACAAAGGAGGAGGCAACAATGCTTGATTAGAAATGTACTCATTACATTGCCCATGGTAATTGTAATTCCTCTGTATGGTATTTAAAAAAAAAAAATCTAGGTAAGTGACAGGTGATAAGGTAAATCTAGGCTTTGCATTTCCCACCAAACATCACAGAAACCTGTGGTAGAGACATAAGAAACATGGTAAGAACATCACGCTAGAGGCCAGTACAGGAGAAGTGCTAACTTAGAAGCCAGGGCTAGGAATGTGGCTTAGTGGTAGAATGTTTGCCTCGTATGCATGAAGCCCTAGGTTTAATTCCTCAGTACCACAGACACAGAAAAAGCCAGAAGGGGCACTGTGACTCAAGTGGTAGCCTTGAGCTTCTAAGAAGCTCAGGGACAATGCCCAGGCTCAGAGTTTAAGCCCCAGGATTGGGGAAAAAAAAAAAAAAAGGTTCAGTGCTGGGCTCAACAGGCATGATGACACTGTTAACTTTTCAGGCATGGTGGGTAAAACTTACTTCAGCTTGGCTGCCTGTGTAGGCTCTAAAATGAGGCGAAGCTGCTCGCACAGCTGTTGTGAGAGTGGAGCAGTTAAGACCAGGTAGCTCTGCCACATCTCAGCTGCCGCTTTCTCCTGGGACAACAGCAATGACATATAAATTACTTCTTTAAACTATCAAAAGGCACTCATTATTATGGCAAGACAACTTGAAGAATATAGAAAACAAGTTACAAAAAACCTTAACTATAGGACTTTAAAACTTCTCTCAAGCAAACTCTGATCTAAATCAATTAAAAATACTTCCCATCAAACCAACTGCATTTGCAGGTAAGAATACAATACAGCCATTAAATGAATTCATTACCAAATCAATGCCTTGTTCATATCACCTAGAGTTAAAAATAACATGTACTCTTCCTATGGCAAAGGTAGAAGTAAGTAACCTTGCTGCCCAAAGTGATAGGCAAAGGTCCAAGTAAGTAATTTTGCTGCCCAAAGTGATAATCTTAGAATGCCTACTTAATCCAACCACAGCAGAACACTCAACACACAAATTTGAAAATGGTGATAATAACCAATGCAAATGTAGGAAACGAAGTCATTAAAGATAAAATTTCTTGGTCAGTCCACACAGCCAGCTGTTGGTTGGCTGGTTCTGAGAATGGTGCAGCATAGACTTTTGCCTAGCCTTTAATGGTTAGCCATTACAGAGTCAGTTTCTGTTTTAATTAAGCTGTAGACCTTATATAGTCTAAGCTTTTAGGACTGTAATTGAATTTTCCATATGCCTGGTTCCTTTTACAAAAATTACTGGAGCTAAAAACCTATTAAGTTGGCCATTTCTCAAAGTCAAGATATTTTATGAGTATAAACTTACTTCTTCTGCATTCCCAGATTCTTGTGGCTGCCATGTTTCCAGCTGTCTCTCCATCTCCTGTCTTAGTTCATTGACATCTTTCAAAAAGGGCTATTAAGAAAAAGGCATAGGTAAGAAGTTGCCCAAGTTGGAATCACCCAACTTTTATCATTGGCTACCTTCCTCCCATTGCAAGAAACTCAAAACTTAAGCATTTTTAATGGTGCAATGAGATGGTGGAAAATGATTCCTCTAATAGGTTAGCTTGAGGTGATAGTTGAGATTCAGTTAAAGGGCCCCATAGGGCTCTTCCTAAATATAGGCATTACAGTGAGGATTCTTTATTATTTAACCACTATAAATTGTCCTGAAGACTCCTTACAAAAATATAGTAAAGGTTAGGATGCGAGACTCAAAGCCTGAGGAACAGAGTCACCAACATGGATGTCTGGGCACTGGGATTAACTATTAACTACTGGATTAACTATTGAAGAATCCTGTCTTACAAGGAATATTCTTACAAGTTTTGATAAGGAAGGACAGGATATGATTTAAGGCAACTTAAAATTAAAAAATGAATCAGTTATGAAAGCAGTAATTTGTGAGTTTTAGTACTTGGAAAATTGTATCCACGAGGTACTGATGGAGTGTGTGAATGGTTGAATCTCGGCTTCTCTCTGGTTTCTCGTCTGTTTCCTTGTGGGATCTGTCTGTCCTGGGGTCCTCATCTGTTTTAATGGTTTGGGTCTCAAGCTCCATCTCCTCAAAGCCTATTTTTGAATAAGGACATAATTTTATTTATTGTCACATTTGCTTACATCTGAACATTCATTACTGCCCATTACTCCTGAACAGTGAATCAAACCTCATTCATCTCAGCACATTTCCACAGGTTGATTCCATGTGTTCTTGCTCCTCTAACAGTAATTACTAATTCTTGCTAATTTATCCCCCTATCACCCTCACATTGAAGGTAGCTGTTTGGGTAAGAGTAGTAGGGAAGACCAATTTATCTTCACACTGCACTAATATGCTAGTGTACAGCTCAGTGGCTGTCAGGAGCCCTTGACAAGCTTGCATAAGGCCCCGAGTTTAATTTCTAGTACTGAAAAACCAGCAAAATAAATCTAGTGTTTCATCTTATGGATGAGGAAAGTGATGAGAAAACACCACCTTTCATGGAATGACAAGAGAGGCAAGCTTGAATTTGATTCTAGACACAAAGCTTTTTGTCTCCCATTCAAAAAATAACAAGACAGTTGTCCACATTCTTGAAAGGACAAGAAGAGCCGCTGAATATGACTGGTTCTTGTTAATTTGCTACATGTATTCCCTAGATAAAATAAATAAACTGCCTGGGGCTGGGAAGGTAGCTCAGTGGTGTAGAGTGCTTGTCTGGCATGCATGAGGCCCTGGGTTTGATTCCTCAGCACCACATAAGCAGAAAATGCCAGAAGTGGTGCTGTGGCTCAAGTGGTAGAGTGCTAGCCTTGAGCCAAAAGAAAACTGAGAGATAGTGAGTGGCCAACCCGAGTTCAAGCCCCATGACCAGCAAAAAACCAAAAACCAAACAAACAAAATGCCCAATGGTGTGTATGTGTGTGTTGATGTGCGTACTTGTTCCCCCAGCTACTCCGGAGGTGAGATTGTGGTTGGAGGCCAACCTAGACAAAACTTTAGAAAATAAAGCAAAATAGGGGCTAGGATTATGTCTCAAGTGCTAGACTATCTGTGAAGCCTTGAGCTCAATCCCTAATACCACTAAACAGATAAACTGCCTGGTGATGGAAAAATCTGTTGCATTTTCTTCTATTTCTTTTGCTATTTCATTAGTTATGCTTCAGTGTAATTGAAAACATTTCTGTAGTAACCAAGAATATACCCTTTCATCATAACTAAAGGAAACGTATTACTTTGTTTTTCCTATATACTTGAAAAGACCACTCCTACATCCTCTGCCCCAACAATAAGCAGTGAAATGATTATGCAAATTACTCATCTAAGCTATGGGTAGGACATGAAAATGATCAGATTATAGTCCAAGAGAACTAACTTCTCTTAAGTTACAGGGCTTAGGAAGGGTATAGTCACTAGCAGTACTCACTGGAGGCCGCCCTGGTCCCTGATTTGACTTCATCTGGCTTCAGCTGCTCTTTGTCTTCTGTTCTGAGCTCTTCCTCCTGCTCAATGTCCATGGGGCCGTCCTCTGTTTCCTCTTCTTTATTGAAGTCTTTTGCAGTCTGTTGCTGCTCCTTGCTGGCCACATCTGTCAACAGTGCACACAATGTAATATGTGGGCTACAGTTTCCCTCACTTCTAGGTTTGAAAATTATTCTAATGCTAGCTGTCCCTGACAGAACAGGTTTGGACACTTTGTTGGACCTAAGATCTCTTGCTGACCACCCACTGGTACTGTTTTACTTCTTACAGATATTATGAGGACACAGTGTAATTACATATGAAACTATGAAAATATTTATTGCTTAGGCCAGACAATGAACAATAACAGTCTGGACACATAACTCAGAACACACCTAATAGACCTTATCCTCTTATTACTACAGAGCATAAGAAAGAATACAGGAAGAATCTCACTGAGCATTGTAATCTTTTTTTTTTTGTCGGCAATGGGGCTTGAATTCTGGGCTTGGGCGCTGTCCTTCAGCTCTTCAGCTCAAGGCTAGCACTCTACCACTTGAGCTACAGTGCCACTGGTTGTTTATTGGAAAGTCTTATGGACTTTCTTGCCCAGGCTGTCTTTGAATTGTGATCCTCAGACATTAGCCTTCTGAGTAGCTAGGATTACAGGTATGAGCCACCGGTGCCTGGCTAGCATTGTAATCTTTGAAAAACTGAGTGAGCTTACCTCTTTATAAGATGTTATGGCTCACACAATTACTTAAGGATTTCCATGACCATACAGTAAAGGCTCCTAAGTGTCTCTGACACAAAACTAATGTTCTTTTTTTCTTTTAAGTGGGATCAGGGCTACTGGACAGAATAGCTAGGCTCTCCTGGGTTGAGACTTCATTCAGAAGTGTTCTTCTGACAAGACTATGCCTTGGTCATGACAGAGAGACATTTTCTGTCCACCATATACAAGTCATTCACAGTTGGATATTCACAAGGAGCCATAGTAGAGGCCTAGACCCATTAGGAGCTGAGAGAGACACTGCCCAAGGAGTGGGAAGAACTGGCCCATACTGCTGTAAGTAGCTGGAATGAACAATCAACTTTCTCCATTTCTGTTCAAATAAATAAGAAGAGGCATAGAAAAAGTTACCTACCACTTGAACCATACTCATAGGTAGCTATTATCAACACTAGTTTTCATATTAGGAATGAAAGTGTATGTCACCAGAAAGCCAGGTGCAGAGACTCATACTTCTAGTCGTAGCCATAAGGGAGATGAAGATCAGGAGGTCAGTCCACTATTAAAAAAATAATAAGCTGAGCACCAGTAGTTCACGCCCATAAGCTTAGCTACTCAAGAGGCTAGGATCTGAGGATCACAGTTCAAAGCCAGCCTGGGCAGAAAAGTCTGTGAGACTCTTATCTCCAATTAACCCTCAGAAAACTAAGTGGTGCTGTGGCTCGAAGTGGTGGAGTGCTGGTCTTGAACAATACAGCTCAGGGACAGCACGCAGGTCCTGAATTCAAGCCCACGACCAATTCCAAAAGATAAAAAATGCCTATCTTCTGTATAGGGATTTATTTCACATTCATAGCTCCTGCTGTGACCTATTTGAAGGAGACTATAAAGGAGTATACAGTAGTAAGATATTCTGAAAGTTGGATAATTGAGGTTCAAAGCCAGTTGAGGCAGAAGAATCTAAGACTCTAAGCAAAAAATGGTGCCAGAAGTATGCAGCAGCAAGATAAAGTTGAGGTCCCTGAGTTCCAGTAAATGGGGATAGAGGAGGAAAGAAACCTTGAGATTAGCACTAGGCTTGGATGTGGCCAGCTGTTTGTATAGTTATTAATAGAGTTCTTATACTAAAACTAGAAACTGAGCACTTTTTTTTTTTTTTTTGGTGGGTTGTGAGGCCTGAACTCTGAGCCTGGGCACTGTCCTTCAGCAGTTCAGCTCAAGGACAGCACTCTACCACTTGAGCACCACTTCCGGCTTTTTCTGCTCATGTGGTGTTGAGGAATTGAACATAGGGCTTGCTTCATGCATGTAAGACAAGCACTCAACCACTGAGCCACCTTCCTAGCCTTCTGAGCACTTACTTATACTTGGCTATGAATAGCAAAAACCAATGATATTTTGCTGTTAGAAGTATTCCTAATTTAGCCGGGCACTGGTGGCTCACGCCTGTAATCCTAGCTACTCAGGAGGCTGAGATCTGAGGATCGTGGTTCAAAGCCAGCTCGGGCAGGAGAGACCGTGAGACTCCTATCTCCAATACACCACCAGAAAACCGGAAGTGGCGCTGTAGCTCAAGGGGTAGAGCGCTCGCCTTGAGCTGAAGAGCTGAGGGACAGCGCCCAGGCCCAGAGTTCAAGCCCCACCACTGACAAAAAAAAAAAGAAGTATTCCTAATTTATTTATTACTGAGAAATGAGCTCTACTACAGAGCTATAATAACAAAAACAGCACAATACAGACCTGAAGAAAAACAAAACAAATTAGAAGACCCAGAAATAAAACCATATATTTATAGTCATCTGATATTTGATGATAAGGGAGTCGAAGATATATAGTGAAACAAAGATAGCCTCTTCAATAATTGGTGTTGGAAAAACTGGACATTCATATGCAGAAAACTGAATGTGGATTTGTGTTTGTCATCATGCACTAATATCAACTCAATGTGGACTGAAGATCTCAATGTCAGGAGGCAGTAGGAGAAACACTAGAACTATAGGCATAGACAAAAGCTTTGAAGAGTCCCAGGGGCCTAGCAGATAGGAGAAACTTGACAACTAGGATTACCTCAAAATAAGAAGTTTCTGTATAGTAAAGGACATAGTTACTAAACTAGAAAGACAGCCAACAGACTGGGAGATCTTTACCAGCAGTGCATCTGAGAAAGGCCTAGTATGTATATTTTGGAATATACAAGGAGCCCGATAAAGTTATCACTTCCAAAGCTAATAAACCAATCAAATGGGCAAAGGCACTAAAGAGAGACTTCTCAGAAGAAGAGGTTAGAATGGTAAAGAAGAAACACATGAGGAAGTGTTCACCATCCCTGGCTATAAAGAAAATACAAAAAAATAACTGAGATTCCATCTTACCCCAGTTAAATTGGCCAACATCATGAATTCAAACAACAAGTGTTGGCAGGGATGTGGGGAAAAAGGAACCTTACAATGTTAGTGAGAATGTAAACTAATACCATCACTCTGGAAGTTCCTCAAAAAATGAATGTAAGATCTTTCCTATAACCCAGCCATACTACTCCTGGGCATCTACTCAGAACATCACAGGACAAGATACCATCAAGACACTTGCACATCAAGACACTGCACTATTAACAACTGTCAAGGTATAGAAACAGACTAGATGCCCTACAATAGATGAGTGGATCCAAAAAATGTGGTACCTATACACAATGGGAGGGCCATTAGAAAGAATATGCCATTTGCAGGGAAATGGATGGACCTAGAATGAATCATGTTAAGTGAGGTAAGCCAAGTTCAGAAAGACAAGCATACATGTTTTCTCTCGTATGTGGCAGCTACATCTAAGATAATACCCCCCATGATAAATTATACAGGAGTCTTGGCATCCATACATAGTTGAGACTAAAGGAGGATATTCTTAGGGTGCAAACACAAAAGCACAATGCCTATATGCCTCTGATCATATAAAATAGTTTTCATCAAAATGAACTCCAAGAAATGGGCAAAAAATGATGCTAAAAAAATGCTATAAAAGTCAGTTTCTCTTCCTTCTAATGTACCCAAGAGGCCACAGTCACATTCTACAAACTCAAAACACTCTTAGCAAAAGGAGAAGCTTTCTGTCATCATACCATAGGTCTGTGCATCGAATGTGTTGCTGCCTTGTTTAATGTGCTCAAATGCATCTGCATCTTCCACTTGGGCCTCAGACTCAGCTGACTTCTGTTCACACTGACTTTCCGTGTCCATAGTCCTCAATCTCTTATGTACATGCTCATTGTGATCACCCATGGAGCGTTCATTGTCAGCCTGTCCAGGCTTCCTTTTAAAACTCTGCAAAATAATAGGAGATTCATAAGAGCTGTATCTGTAATAACAAGACTCAAAATCACCATTATATTCATCAACAGCTAGGGATAGCCATGTAAAATAAAATTCAAAGACTGGCCACTGGTGGCTCAAACCTGTAATCCTGGCTACTCAGGAGGCTGAGATCTGTGGATTGTGATTTAAAGCCAGCCCGGGCAGGAAAGTCTGTGAGTCTCTTATCTCTGATTAACCACCAAAACACTAGAAGTGGAGCTATGGCTCAAAGTGTTAAGAGTCTTGAGTCAAAGAGCTCAGGGACAGTGTGCAGGCCCGAGTTCTAGTTCCATAACTGACAGAAGAATAAAGTTCAATGCGATTATTTAAAAAATGGGGCTTCATGGGCTAGGAATGTGGCTTAATGGTAGAGTGCTTGCCTAGCATGCATCAAGTCCTGGATTCCTCAGTACCATATAAACAGAAAAAGCCAGAAGTGATGCTGTGGCTCAAGGGGTAGAGTGCTGGCCTTGAGCAAAAGAAGCTTAGGAATAGTGCCCAGGCCCTGAGTTCAAGCCCCAGGCCTGTCAAAAACAACAAAAACCAAAATAAAAAACAGAGCTTCTATACATACTTGTGTAAAATAGCTGATACCTAAAACAGTGCCAAATATGTTAAATACAAAGATGCTACCCTGATAAAACTGGAAAGGGTCCTGTCAGTAGATTGGGAACAGTGCAGCAGGTAGGTATATGGGGGAAAAGCACATGGCTATGGACGGAGACAAGAGTAACATTGGAGGGTGCTGCTGGATAGCAGCACATAGGACCTAGTTGTTAGCTTCCATAGCAGAAATGGACATAGGAAAGAAACCCCAGGGTTTTCCCAGTACAGACTCTACAGTTTTGATCTGCTCACCAAGGCTGCCATTATGCCTGGGCAAACAGCCAAAGCTAGATGTGTGACCTTTTTTTTTGTTTTTTGGTAATGTTCCTGGGGCTTGAACTCAGGGCCTGGGTGCTACTGACCTTGAGCTTTTGTGCTCAAGGTTAGTGCTATACCAGCTGAACCACAACTTGACTTGGGGCTTTTTGGTGGTTAAATAGGGATAAGAGTCTCATCATCCTCAGATCTTAGCTTACTGAGTAGCTAGGGTTAAAGGTATAAGCTACAGTTGCCCAGGTGTTTTGCTTTCTTTAATCACAAACAAACCTTTCATAAATCTTATGACACTTTTTACAGATAGAAACCTGTGTAATTGGGAAGGGATGGGAAGGGTAAACAAAGGAGGAGGCTGCAATGCTTGGTAAGAAATGTACGCATTATCCTGCCCATGCAATTGTAACCCCTCTGTATAGTATTTTCATCACAAAAAAAAAATAAAAAAAAAAAAAAAAAAAAAAAAAAAAAAAAAGAAACCTGTGTATTTTTCTTGGTGTGTCTCTGGGAGGCCAAACGGGCAAAGAAATTAGATTCATGGCCTTCTGCTTGGTTAGCATCCGCAGTTCCAGTCCCATGTTCCTAAGAAGAGACATAAGAAGAATAAGATAGATGAAGCTATTACAAGCACTGGTGGTTGTCCTGTATTATTAAATACGTCCTCTATCAAGCTCTGCTTATTCTAAAACTTACTCTGATTAAGGCCTGGCCAGTGTGCAGAAACAGGAACATGAAGACCTAGAAGCTACCTACCTTTGCAAGGTAGTTGTGGACCTAATTTTCTTACTGTAAAAGCAGGACAGACCTCTATTAGGCTCTTTCCTCAACCAGCATTTCACTGTTGCGGTTGTCATTTAACTCATCAAGGCTTTCCTCAAATATAATGTACAGAAAATAGCATTTTATCATCTACTTCTATAGAGCTATTAAAAGGACTTGCTGGAATATTGAAAATGTTTAGCACTTAATGGATCCTCTATGAATGACAGTGGTAGGATACAAGAACCACAAACAAACTCAAAGAGGCTGAGGAATACGTCATCTGGTGTCCGATGCTCTCTCCACAGCAGTGACAATGTCCTGAATTGTAGTCATAGCTGAACACATCACCACCAGGTAAAGGAATGACAATGTTATTTTTAAATGAACATGTATAGAACGTAGTAGAGTAAGGACAAGTAAGATGCTAATAGAGATATACTGTTGCATGAAGTCTAAATTCATCCTTTCCTTCCTTGAAAGCTTTTTGAGAAATAATCTGATTCTCCCATCAAGTATGACCATTTTAGTAACTTTTTCTTGTAAAGCATATAATTTAAATGCAATCTACAGACAACAGTCTGAGAGGCATATAAAAATAGGCATACATTTTCTCCAAGAATGGTTAATAATGTCAACAACAAAAACCAGTAACAAAACCCACATATATACCAACTACTGCTAGAGAATGACTTCAGACAAGGAGAGGCAGCTGGCCAAGCAGCAAGGATCCATCACCTCTTTCCCTTGTTCCTTCTCAGGCGCAGCCCCTGCTAGCTCCACAGCCTGTGTACTCTGCACATTCTCCACACCAGTCTGCCCGCAGGAGGCATGTTCCTTCCTTTCTGTGGTCTCTGGCATCTGCTCCTCTGTATCAGACTTTTCCCCTTCTTCCTGCAAAAACCAAACAGCATTAAATGCTTTAGGGATGGACTCACAGAGCACGGACTGCTTAGAAAAGGTTTTCAAACAGACAAATAAAACCCCTACTTATGGAGAAATGTTCTCTGGTTTTACCAAATAAAGCATTTCTTTGTTATTGTTACCCCAGACCAAAGAAAAGCCAGACATCACAGTACCTGGGGTTGGAGACCTTGGTCAACAGTGCTGCTATCATTTTCTCCACCTTCCTCAGTGGCTGCTTTGTCTTCTTCCTCCAAAGACGGTTGCTGCTGCTCTGAGTTTTCTTCACCAGCATCTTGGTCTTCAGCCCCTGTGTCCATCTCTTCCTCCTCTTTGACCTTGTCATCTTCAGCGGGGCCTTCCTCAGACTCTTGTGGACCTTCACCTTCATTCTGCTCAGCCTCAGTCACTTCTTTCATTTCCTCAGCTTCATGGCTTGTTTCTTCGGTATCCACTGCTTTTTCTTTGATCTCCAAAGGGTTCTCTTCTGGGTAGGTAAAACAAAAAGACAGCACTCAGAACTTGAAACATGCTGTTAGCTAGGTGTGGTAGTTGGCTTTAAAAAAAAAAAAGAGTTGGCTTTTTTCCCCAGCTTGGGGAAAAAAGTTCAAAAGACCCCTTTAACCAATAACTGGGTGCAGTGGCATGCAGCTGTATAGGAAGCTAAGACCAAGAGCATAGTGCTTTCAGACTAGCCAGACAAGTTTGAAAGACTACATCTCAATGGAAGAAAGTAGGCATGGTGGTGTGCATCTGTCATCCCACCTATGGATGAGGAGGATGATGGCAGAGGTGTGTTCCTAGGCAGAAAGTGAGACCTTATCTCAAAATATCTAGTCCAAAAAGGGCCTGGAGGAGTGGTTACGCAGTAGCATTTAAAGAGGTCTTAATAAGTTCAAACCTCAGTCCAACCACTCCCTCCCTAAAAAACCAACAAAAATAAACCGATAGAAGACACCCAGAAAGTATTTTAATTTTATTCTCTAATCTACAGATTGGCAAAGTAGATCCCAGTGGACAAATCTAGCCTTCCTCTCCTTTCTACAATTAGTTTGAAAGCTTATAGCCACATATATTCTATGTTTCCTCACACAATGTACGCAGAGTATGACTGCTTTTACACTGTAACAGCACTCTGGAGATTTTCATCTTAATTTTATGCTTACTTAGTTTTTCTTGTCAGGATTGAAGGCAAATTTCAAAATTAGATTTTACAATTTGCTACTTTTGTCTCCATATCTCTCAAATGTACATACATATTTAAAAGTAGCTTTTCGCTGGGTGCTGATGGCTCATGCCTGTAATCTTAGCTACTCAGGAGGCAGAGACCTGAGGTTTTTGGTTCAAAGCCAGTCAGCTTAGGAAAGTCCATGAGGATCTTATCTCCAATGTGTTAGCTTTCAGCAGAAGACTCAGGGATAGTGCCCAGGTCTCGAGTTCAAGCTCTATGACCGACAAAAATAAGTAATACATACATACATAAAGGCAGCTTTTCTAAGTGCACAAGTCAGAATGAGGCAAACATATATCTTCCTGTCTCATTGGCCAGTGTGACTGGGACCCTCCACTGTGTGTCCTATGCATCTGATTTTCTTGTGGCTATTTAATCTCCTATTCCATTTCATACTTCAAAATAATCATACAACACCAAATAACTGAAGGCATCGTTTCCTGAAAAAAGCTATAACTGGGCTGGTAAGGCTTCAGTGTATCAAGACTGTATTACAAGATGGTCATGGCTTTGAAGAGACAGCTGTTTGCACTGAGGCAACATTAGCTTATAGCAATACAATGACAGGATGAGAAGTGACAACTTCAGAGAGATTTATTGGCTATAAGCTGTTCATCTACTCATATGAGAAACACTTTGAGGGAAAAGAAAACTGTTTTCTCAAACTGGTATTAAGTTAACCCAACAGTACTTATGACTCGGCCATGATACTAAGCTGCTCTCTGGGGGAAAAAAATCAATTACTGCTCATTGACAATGAATTCCAATTGGATTCTTTGGGCTTCTCAAAGATGTACCTTCTCCTTCCTCATTGTCTGTATCCTCGCCACCATCTTTGTCTTCACTGTCAAGGTTCAAGTCGTCTGGAAGGTTCAAGGGCTCAGGTTCTGGTAACTTCTCCTGATTGCCATGATAAGGGTCCACCTCATTCTCATCATATTCTCTCTGAGACAATAAGAGAGTAGGGAGAAAAAGAACTTATTACTGTAAAGGATAGAGGTATGTCTCAAGTGGTAAGAGTGTCTTAACAAGCATGAAAATTGTTTTGTTTGTATATGTTTGTGTATGTGAGAGAGAGAGAGAGAGACAGACAGACAGAGACAGACAGACAGCTCTCATTATGAAGCTCAGGCCGGCTCTAAACTTGTAATTTTCTTAGAAGGCCTTAAGCTTTAAGTCTGAGGATCACAGGCATGGGCAACAATGACAGATTCTATTATACATTCGTTTATGAAGTCAAGGGAAAGTGATCAATAATTAGGAAAAAAGAATTCATAAGGCATTCCAAGGATTTTGAAGTACAGAGTTCTTGGTGTCAAGGCTGAGCAAAGCAGTTTCCAATCCTCATTACCTCATCTATTTGTTCATTAATTTTGTCTTGGTCTTGTGCATCACCATCAGATTCTGCTTCTTCTTCTTCTTCTCCTTTTTTATCTTGGTGGTGCTTATCTTTGTTCAAATTCCTAGCATCTAAGTTGTCATCTTTAGCAACAAGTTCAGAACCTTCCTAAATGTCAAAAAGAGAAACACAAAATTGTCATTTTCTTTCTCATCAACTGTTCTTCAAGGGTTAACCTTCCCAATGTAGTCTTCGGATGTCTCCAGCCAACAGGGCACAGACCTGACCTGAAGACACCAAGTCCAGAGTGGTCCAGGTCAGTCCAGATAACAGCAAGAATAGTACCTATGAATCTAATTAGATGCACAGATCCCTGTAACTAATGTGACACACTCAGACCTGGAAATTTAGAGCTGGAGAAATTCAGCAGCTAACGCACAGAAGGTTTGTGCTTCTGCAGTGAAGTCTTAGGGCAGCACGCTCTTTCCTCTCTGAATGCAATCAATGAGATGAGAGAAAAAACAGAAAAAGAGATGGAAAAAATAAGAAAAACAAAGAAAAGGATGAATGGCAAATGACAGATGGTGGTGGAAAGACCATCTGTTCTAAAATTGGCCTAGGGACTTTGGGATGGCAGGAGTCTCATTTACCTCATCCATTCCTGGTCCTGTTTCTTCAGTTTTACTGTCTTCTTCCTCCTCTTCCTCCTCCTCGTCATCACCCCAAAGCCTCTCATCTAGTTTGTCAGCTTCCTCACCATTGAGATCACCCATCTGTTTATCCAGGTCTCCGCCCTCACTATCTGATTTCTGATCATCCTCTTCTGAAACAGAAGGCACTGAGCTTAGTTGGCAGATCTCCACACTGTTCTAGTCCAGTGTGTAAGAGAGGTTTAGACCCACTTCTTGGCAAGGGTCCTGTGTGTGATTTAAAGCCTGTTTCAATAGAACTCTATGAGCAGATGCAAACAGTTTTGCAAAATGTTAGAAATGAAGCATGTACGGTACGAGTAAATAGTAAGAAATGTGGAAGAATTGCTGTCCGGAGAGCTTATTCAGCTGCTGAGGGAATATTCTTTATGGAACTCAGCAACCTCACTAGACTTTACTTTCAATTAATATGTAAGAAACAATAGATCTGATTAGTTGATTACCAGGTATCCTCCCATTTCCAACGAACTACACTTATCTAATATCTACAATCAGGTCTACATCAATTATTCAGATATTGCTTACTTTTATCTTTGCTCAACATTTCCTTTATCCAGTTATATCTTTGTGCTTATCCTCTATTTTAAGGTCAGCAATCATATAAGATCTTTCTTTAAGTAAGATAATATATATCAAGTTAAGCTTTAGATAGGCATTTAGGGCAATGAACAGTGCTACAAAATATGACAGATGAAGATGAGGCAAGAAAGCATATTCTCAAAAAAATTTTAAGGAGTATGTCCATAAAGTGTTAAATAATAATAAAAAAGATTAGAGAACTGTACATTGTCTCTGTATATGTCGACATGCAATAAATGGAAATACATCAAAATTTGGACAGTGCCCAGGCCCAGAGTTCAGGTCCCACTGACCAAAAAAAAAAAAAAAGCAACTAGGAAAAAAAGTAATTAAAACTAAAAAGAAGCCCCAAACTACCAAGAAAATGTGTTTCCAGTTTAGAGCCAAGCTCTGTTGAAGACCACCTCTTGCTAGGCACTGGTAATTTACATTGTAATCCTAGGTACTCAGGAGGCTGAGATCTGAAGATCATGGTTCAAAGCCAGCTTGGACAGAAAAATCTGTGACTCTTACCTCCAGAAAACCAGAAGTGAGGCTGTGGCTCAAAGTGGTAGAGCCCTAGCCATCAGCAAAAAAGCTCAGGGACAGTACCCAGACCCTGAATTCAAGTCCTACACCAAACTGGGAGAAAAAAAAGGTCATCTCTGTTTCAGACTTCCAGTGTCTTGGTTCACTCAAAGAAGCATCTCTAGAACAGACTGCCTTACAGGAGTAGGTGGGCCACACAGCTAGTTATGTAGAATAACCAACTTGTTGCAAAGATTATAACAGGCTTCTTACTCAGAACCTGTTATTTCTTGGATTCAGAAAAAAAACAAGGGCTGGGAAGGTGGCTCAGTGGTAGAGTGCTTGCCTTGCATGCATGAGGCCCTGGGTTCGATTCCTCAGCACCACATAAGCAAAAAGAAAAAAGCTGGAAGTGGTGCTGTGGCTCAAGTGGTAGAATGCTAGCTGAAGAGCTGGGGGACAGCACCCAGCCCCCACAACCGATAAAAAAAAAATCACCTCCTGATGTTACATTACTTATCTGTCCATTGTCTGTGGTTATTTCTCCTTCTGTGGTGGTAAGGGCTGGAGTGACAGAGAAGGACAGACAGCATCATGCAGGATGGCTACTCTAGCACCCACGTCCAGAGTTCAGGCCCCATGACTGGACCCAAAAAAGAAAAAAAATCTCCTTTTGAGAAACAAGAATGAAATGATGGATAATCTCAAACCTTGTTCTTCCAGCTCTCCATCATGCATTTGACCATCAAAGTCTTCTGACATCTCAATGGCATTATCTTCTCCCTTAATATCAGACTTTGAATAAGAATCTTCTTTTTCCTTTTCTTTACCCTTCTGAAATGTATCCTCTACCTGTATCAAGAGTATTATAGGAAGTAAATAAATATGGTAGCCTTAATAATGTTATTTTAATTCTAATATATAAATGCCAAGATAAATGATGCCAAAGTATTTCTAGGGAGAGGAAAATGGACAGAGGTAGTCATGTGCAAAATTTTTTGTAAAAAGTTTTATATTTTTTTCCTTTATTGCTTTTTTATCTTGGAGTATAGAATTCAGTTTAGGTTTTCTTCACAGGAATTGTAAAAAATGATTTCAAAAATTTATTCCTTTGGACAGTATTGAGTTTTGAACTTGGGAAATTGCTAGTTTTCCTTCCTCTTTTTTTTTTTTTTTTGCCAGTTCTGGGGTTTGAACTCAGGGCGTGGGCACTCTCCCTGAGCATTTTTTGCTCAAGGCTAGCACTCTACCACTTGAGCCACAGCACTTCCTCCAGCTTTTTCTGTTTATGTGGTACTGAGGAATTGAACCCAGGGCTTCATTCATGCTAGACAAGCACTCTACTACTAAGCCATATTCCTAAGCCTCCTTTTAGTTATTATTTGGTAGGCTCTTGCAGCAGTTTTGCTCTGGGCCAGCCTCAAACCACAATTCTCCAGTTGGGGTGAAAACATATGCCATCACACCTGACACCTTTTGAATAGTGAGCTTCCTGATTTCTGCCTGAGTAACTAGGATAACAGGCATAGGCAACTATGTAGTAATAACTAAATAAATAAATAAATATACATATATATATACACACACATGCATACATATATTCCAATTTTAGAGCTATTTAAAAAGAATGTATTTTTGCAAGAGTAGAAAAATAAATTTTCTCTCTTCCTCCCCTCTTGTACTGGTGTCTAAAAATCAGGATTTTGTTTTTTGTAGGCAAGTACTCTATCACTTTAGCCACACCCCTAGTCCCTTTAGCTTTACCCTTTCCCCCCCACAAATAGGGTTTTATCTTTATATTTGGGTTGTCCTGGACCTCAATCTCCTGTATATGCTGCCTGCATAGCTGAAGTCGGTGCATGTGAATCTCCTTTTGTTGGTAGAAATGGGGTTTCACAAACTGTTTCCCCAGATTTGCTTTAAAAAAATACAATCCTGATCTCCACTTCCCAAGTAGCTAGGATTACAGGGATGAGCCACCATGCCTGGCTCATCTTGTAGCTTTTGTCAGTTAAGTATATACTAACACATACTAAAGTGATCCTGTGCTTTATAAACTATTATTTATTCTTTTCACTTAAAAAAATACCTTGGGTATTTTAATTGTTACAAGCAAATTAATCTCATTCTGTTCAATTTTAGTACTGCCTTGCAAGGATGGTATCATCATAATTTACATAATTCCCTTCTCATGAATCTGTTCCTCTCCCATTCTCACCTTTATAAAGAATACCATAATGAACATCCTTGTACAAGTACAAATATGTACCCTCACATACCTATTTGTCTTTAACTCTTACTAGAATTTTGTAGGAAAAGATAGAATTTGTGGGCCAAAGATTTATCAAATATTGTCAGATTATCTGGTAGCTTTTTATCTCACTTAATGTTTGCTTAGATCATATTTTCATTAGATATGCATTTCTATTGTTTCTACTTCAAATTCTTTTCACTTAGTATATGCTAATTCAATCTGAGAAATACAGAAAAAAAAAACTCAGCTACACTCATATAAACGCAGCTAAGGAATTAGTTTGGTTTGCTATTTTATTTATTTTGTTGATCACAGGGCTTGAACTCAGGGCCTGAGTGCTGTCCCTGAGCTTTTTTGCTTAAGGCTAGGGTTCTACCACTTTTCAGCTACAGCTCTACTTCCAGTTTTTTGAGTGGTTAATTGGAGACAGGAGTTTTATGGTTGACTTTTCTGCCTGGGCTGGCTTCAAACTGTGATCCTCAGATCTCAGCCTCCTGAGTACCTAGGTTTACAGGCATGAGCCACCAGCACACAGCTTGCTCTTTTAATAGCTGTAATCCGACATTAAATATAAATTCATGACCTGATTTAGAAATAGTGATAAAAAATTATCTTTTTAAAAAATTTTTTAATTAATTTACTTATTTTTTATTTGTGAACATACTGTACAGAGGGGTTACAGTTACATGGGCAGGATAATGCGTACATTTCTTACCAAGCATTGCAGCTTCCTCCTTTGGTTTACCCTTCACATCCCTTCCCAGCCTCCCCCCTTCCCAGCCTCCCCCCCAATCCCAACCCTTCTCCTCCCTCCCCTTCCCCCCCCGAAAAAATTATCTTTTATTTCCAAGCCACAATTAGTTAATCTAACTAATGAATAACAGTATATTCAGACACATACATCATCCGAAATAAGATAGACATTTTAAAAAGCATTCTAACAGGAATCAAAGCCCATGGCATTTTACAAGTATTCATAACACTAATCCAAAAAAAGATGTATGTAGATTTAGGAATTTCAACACATCCTAAATTTTATGAATAGCAAACATGACATTATTTAATATAATTATTACTTATAATAGCCAATCTTTTTATTCTTGAATGTACTACTAATTATATTATCCTATGTAAAAATTACCAGCAAATAACTCTCCTTTTATTAACAAATTGGAAAACTATTTCCTCCCAAATTCTAATTGATGGTTGAGTTGCAAAGGTCCTTCCTGTGGCTTTTAGGACTTAAAAACCACTAGCCTAGTAAAAGCCACTGGGTATAACTTAGTGAAAAGGAGTCACTGCCCTTCATTTCTATATACCTATTTTATGCAAGTGAAAACATACCTGTTCTTCATTTTCTATTTTATCACTCACATCCTTCATGCCCTCGCCTTCTCCAATTCCACCTCCTTCATAGTCATGGAACTCTGTGGCTCCCTCTCCTGCTGAGTTTTCCATAAGTTCTTTGGGCAAGCAAAATCCCTTGGGAAAAAACATGGAACAAATAGTTAAAACACAAAAGCAATTCAAAAGGCATTTATGGCATGTAGTGAAGGTGAGTCTGGGGAGGAATCAAAGAAATGTTCTTTTTCAAGCGCAGTGTGCTGGAGTACAGAAGAGCTTGGTGCTAAAAGTTATTCAGTTTCACAGATAACATCAGATTTAACATAGAAAAATTTAACTTTGTAGAGGCCTCTAGTTAGAGGAACAAGTGAGCTAGGACAGAACAAGTCTAGAGAGGAAACAGACAGCAATATTCATGATAGTTAACCAAACTATTTTCATGTCAGAAAATAGTTGAAGCCAGCCTAGCAGAAAAGTCTGTGAGACTCTCGTCTCTAATTAGCAGCAAAAAGTCAGAAATGGAGTATGGTTCAAATGGTTAGAGGACCAGCCTTGAGCAAAAATTCGAATCAAAATCACGAGGTACAGAGAAGAAGCCACGTACAGGTATCAAAAACAAAAACAAAAAGAGGTCTTGATTAAAAAAAAATCGTAACTCTAAGAAAATATAAGCTATTAGGATATCTGTCAATCTCAGGACAAAAATGTACTTAAAAAAAATAAGCTGTTAGCTGGGAATATAGCTTAGTGGTAGGGTGCTTGCCTAGCATGCATGAAGCCCTGGGTTCGATTCCTCAGTACCATATAAACAGAAAAAGCAGGAAGTGGCACTGTGGCTCAAGTGGTAGAGTGCTAGCCTTGAGAAAACAAATTGAGGGATGGTGCCTAGGCCCTGAGTTCAAGTCCCAGGACTGGCAAAACAAACAAACAAACATGAGATTCTTATCTGCAATTAACCAGCAAAAAAGTACAAGTGGTATAGTAGTTTAAGTGCTACAGTGCTAGCCTTAAGCAAAAGAGCTCAGGGACAGTGCTCAGGTCCTGAGTTCAAGTCCCAGGAACAGCACACAGACTCAAAACCAATGTTACATGGAAACATAAATCTATTAACTGTGTCTAACCTACTTTGCAGTTTCTTCAGCATTACTGACAAGTGCTACAAATATAATTGGATGTTATAATTGGAAATACATTTTGATTAACGTATGTCATTTTCCCCTATTTTAAAAGATACTCAAGTATAAGCACATGACTCAGAGGAGTTTCAGGTACCTTTCTCAAGGTACAAAATTGCCTTTCTCATGGTACAGTAGAACATTTTTCAAGGTATAATAACTGCAACTGGCGGGCTGGGAAGGTGGCTCAGTGGTAGAGCGCTTGCCTTGCATGCCTGGGGCCCTGGTTTCGATTCCTCAGCACCATATAAGCAAAAAGAAAAAGGCCAGAAGTGGCTCTGTGGCTCAAGTGGTAGAGTGCTGGCCTTGAGCTGAAGAGCTGAGGGACAGCGCCCAGGCCCAGAGTTCAGGCCCCACAACGGGACCCAAAAAGGAAAAAAAAAAAAGATACATATATATCCTCTAGTTTAATTCCAGAATTTCAGAGTACAAGTGGAGACTGAACCTATAACATTGAATCTAGCACTTGTTTAGGAAAGAATGCTTTCAGCCCTCTGTTGGTTTTGAGGTGGGTCTTTTTTTTGGGGGGTGGGGTGGGGAGAAGGGTCCGGTTGTGGGGCCTGAACTCTGGGCCTGGGTGCTGTCCCTCAGCTCTTTAGCTCAAGGCTAGGGCTCTACCACTTGAGCCACAGCGCCACTTCCGGCTTTTTTCTTTTTGCTTATGTGGTGCTGAGGAATCGAACCCAGGGCCTCAGGCATGCAAGGCAAGCACTCTACCACTGAGCCACCTTCCCAGCCCTGTGAGGTAGGTCTTAATAACTTTGCTCATCTGGAACTCACATCTTGTCTCTACCTCCAAAAAAAGGTGAAATTGAGGAATACACCATCATGACTGGCTTCAACAAAATTTGAGTGTTTAAAAGAAGTTTAGACTACTTCAGTTTATAAATTCTTTCTTTAGTGACTCTCATCTGTTCTGTGTTCATAAACAAAAATCTAAGAATACTGAGAAACAAAGCAAAAATTTATATAGTCATTTGAAAGTGGTTCTCACAAAAATGTCAGCAGGCAGATCTCAAATGACAAGTTTACAAATGAGGAAGCTGAGGGAGGCTTGGAGAAGGTAAGTGATGAACTCAAGAGTCCAGACACTGGATACTCCATGACGGATTTTCCACTTTGGCTGCCTCTCAGCGGTACAGTCTTGGTCCTTTTAACAGTGCTGAATACATGCATGAATGAAAAACAACTCCCTTATTAATACCACAAGTTGCCTTATTGTTTCCGTCCTAAATTTAAGTCATTTTAAGAAAACAGGCTTAAGGATTAATCCTTAAGTCTAGTGAAAGAATTACCTGAAGTCTTCAAATTGGGGACTGAGAGGAAAGACTATATTAATAAAGAGTAGACCCTTCAGATAGCTGTGGAGATAAGGGAATTAAACAATAAGGGGTTTTATACCTTAATGGAAATAGGCTTATATAGCAAATAGTGCTAGATAAAGTCCTAAAAGCCACAGGAAGAGAAAATGGCCTCCTGCTACTTGTGATGATTCCAAATAAAAGTCCATCAAAACCACCACAAAAGGAAAACAGTTTATCCAGTTTACCATGTGAACAGTTCTTACCTTTTGGGTGATCTCTGCAAAGACCTGGGTAAGGACAGAGAGCAGCTTTGCAGTGCTTCGGTGAGTTGCCAAAGATATGGTCAGGAAGAAGAGGACAAGGTCTGAGAAGCTGCACAGCATGGGCACCAGACGCACTAGCAAGTGGCAGGATTGACTGAAGAACTGGGGGTGAGAAAAAGTATATGTTTATTCACTCTGATGATGTTAGGTCTCCTTGTGGTAATCAAAGTATCTTAAAACTACATAGAGGCTATGCTAGCACAACTTCATATTTATGTTCATGGATGACTTCTATAATGGTAAGTCTCAGGTGTTTTAACACTCCATCAACTGTCACAAAAGTGCACTTTAAAGCACATTAATTAAACATTGTCCTACAAAGTATGTTTCTTCTCTGTACTCATTATACTACAGTTCTTACTCTATCTCACTAGCAGCAGATACTGAGAATGCCTAATTGGAACGTGGAAGAATCCAAAAATAGCATATCCACATAACTGTAATACTTAATGGGCAAACATTACATTATCAAAGGTTATTAGTGATGTTTACACTTATAGATGAAGCCAATTTTTTTTTAGGGATTTGGGTACTGGGCACCTTAAGGTGAAGCCAACTCTGTCTTTACTTAGCCTACCCTGAAGGAACAAAAAGTCTGCAAATAACAGCTGATTACCATATGCTTTGATGTGGTGCCATCCTCACTGTAGGATTTCAGCCTTTCCAGCAGCTCAGAGATAGCAGATATTATTTTCTGCACATGCAGAGTGCTCACATCAGCCCAGAAGTCATCCTCTAAGAGTTTTGTTAGATGTCCTGGTTGTAGTCTCTCGAAGTTTGCTCCCTCTTTCATTCACAGTCAATAATGACAAGTAAGATTCAGAAAGGAGACAAAAAACACACCTTTCATCTATATTCACACAGCCATCTATTACTACATCTACCTATAACTAGTTAGCCACACAAATCATTAAGAAAAATCAAGTAAACTGTAAAAGTAATTTTTGTCTCATTTCAGGCATACCATCATCATCTACTAGTCCTTTTTGGTCAGTGCTTTCCTCTGCTTTTTTACTTTTTCTTTCTTTTAAGTTCTGGATAGCACACAGGATTGCCCGGATAGCAGTTTCCATTTGCTCTGAAAAATCTTCAACGAAGCTTTCATCCAACATTTGGTTTCCTAGGAAGTAGTAAGATATAAAACAAACAAAACTAATCACCTTCTCTCGTACTTCTGAAAAACCATAAACTATTGGGGCTGGGCAGGTGGCTCAGTGGTAGAGCGCTTGCCTTGCATGCCTGAGGCCCTAGGTTCGATTGGTAGAGCACTAGCCTTGAGCTGAAGAGCTGAGGGACAGCGCCCAGGCCCAGAGTTCAAGTCCCACGACTGGACCCCCCCCCCCAAAAAAAAAGAATGTAACCAGCCAGATACAAGGATTTTGAAGAAATGAAAACAACAAAAAGTTGAAAGCTATGAATTCTAATCATTCTTCATGCCTTAAAACCCCAGATAGGTTCTAGATGTGTAAATCATAAGTCATCTCTCTGCTGAGATTTTATTTCTTTACTAAACATTCCTTACCTCCTTGGTTGCCTGAAACAAGCAGATAGGTTTTCCAAGTGGTGAAGTCATCTATAGCTTTATTGATTTCTCCTCTAACATATTTCAGGCTTTCAAATAATGCCATTTGTGGGTTTGTTTTCTCAACCTCAATCCCTGGAAGAATGAACAGGGATTCTAGGACTTGCAAATGAGATGAAACTTGGGACAGGCAATTCAGCCCCGAAGAGCAAATTTCAAAGTCTTTCCTGCAATAGAAATACCATAATGTTAAATTTATGGAGTTATACTAATATATACTCCCAATCCTCACATAATTACAATGTATACAGGGCAAAACTCATCTTATGTCAACAGTTTATAGACATATATATTACAATGCACCATGCAAGTTCATTAATGTCAGAGATCTGAATCAGAATTCTTTTCCTAATTTTATTCATGATTGTTTGCTGCTCAAGTATCCAAGCACAGAAGACAGTAAAAGACTGACATACTCACCAAGAATGAAACAGAGTCTCACAGGACTGCTGCCTAATTTTGTCAACCTCAGTTTTCACTGTTTTAATGGTTTTCAGCATCTCTGTTAACCTTGCAACAGACTGTTGCCAAAGCTGGTCGTGTTTCTGCATCCGGCAACCAGAGGGCAGCTGACTTCCAGGTACTGGGGATGGGCATTTCAGGTCAGAAAGAATTAGGTCTGGTACTGATCTGGCTAGTGGTCCCTTGTCCAGTTCTTCTCCCTCCAGAAGGGCAGAAGGCTGACCCTGCACAGGACCATCACCATGGTCTGTAGTCAGCCCTGAACTTGGACAGCACTGGAGAAACAAGGAAAGCTGCTCCAGCAGGATCTGGCTCTGCATGGATAGATGCTGGAGCCGTTCTGTCCACTGCTGCACACCATCCTGAGGTGGGAAGGCCACAGGATAGACCAGGGGTCCTGTCAGCCTGCTGTGAATCTCCCCCATACAGCTGAGGAGGTTCCTGTGTAGAGAAACCCATGGAGAAAACACAATGGCATCTTCAACCAAGTCATAAAATTGTTTTTGACAGTATGAGTGAATGCTTATGAATAAACCTGAGCTTTCACGTGTAATTAAGAAAGGGTTAGGCTCGTATTCCAAATGGAAGATGGTTGGCCAGCCATGGATTTAATCATTGGATTTAAACCTTGGATTTAATCATTTAGACCCTCTCCATCACAATGTACAAAAATGAGAACTCTCCCACTTACAAACTAGGTACCAGATAAAACTCATGACCTATTACCTGACCCCTTGAATCCTCTACCAACCAACACAATCACACTTCTGCAATGATTTTTAACTATTATTACTTAGAAAATACATTTTACTTTACTAAATGAACCCCATGAATAGAGCACAACATAGGTGAAGCTAAAGTATTTGTAAATATTATTTCCCAGACGAGAACCAACTTAACAAGTAACAGTCCTTCTAACTGTCCTCTTAATTTCTACTTCCACTGAGGAACACTATGTATAGCTTAACAAACTGTCATGTGGAATTCCCAAGAGACCAAGTAAAAGAAAATTCTAATCTTGTGCCCAGATACCAGAATCCCCCAATACAACCCTATTAGCTCACAAGGACTTTGGGCAAACTTGAATATTCCAGATCTAGGTGTAGTTCACCCACAATTTCTCTGTGCTTTGCCCAGAACTTATTCCCAGGACTCATTCTCACAAAACCATGGCCACAGTATAGGGGATGACGGGAGGAGAGCCAAATGGCAGAGCCAAGAAAAACCCACTTGCCTATGGGCTTTAGATCCATTTCACAAGCTAGTAAGAGCAGATCTTACTAGCTAAGCTGACTTGGGAGTTCTTTCGTAATTTATGCTATAAATCCATTAGTTAGCTGATACCTGAGGATGATCCACTGCTCAGTCAGAGTGGTCAGGGAGCGGCGTTGTCGGATGACTATCTTCATCAAATGTGCTGAGAACCCTTTACACCTCTCAATGTTGCCCAAGCCCATCTCCTGACACAGTGAGAAGGAAAGCATGCTGAAAGTGTAGTTGGCAAACACCACTCAGAGGCTCCACTAGAAAGCTATTTCATGGAACATTCTCAGACTATTTACTTATATAAGCAGCAGATGTGCTGTTTATATGCTTACAGGCAAGGCATTCATGTTTGTGAGCAGTATTTCTCAGATTATGTCACTGGTATTCCAACAACAAGGACTAGGTTAACTACCAATGCTAGATAAAAGTAATTAGGCACAGTGGTACCCACTAGACACTATGTTGAAAGTGAACTATACAACTTCCGGGTGGGGGCACATGAGGGAAGGGGTAACGTTGTCCAAAAAGAAATGTACTCTTTATCTCATATAACTGTTATTCCTCTGAACAGTAACAATAAAAAAAACAAAAAAACAAAACAGCAATTATGGTAGCATTCTCAATGAGAAATCTTTCTTCTTTAATTGTTCTTATACTATTGATCATATTTATAAATGCATGTATAAAATTTATTATAAGATGCTTTATGATATAGTATAAAATTATATTGGATAATTCTAAGTTTAATGATATTCTGCAAAAAGCTCAGTCATATCCACTAACCAGCTATTACTTGGTAATTAGAAAATGGAGCTTTCTTTGGCTCCACAGTTCTCATGCTGTGGCATTCTACCTTAGCAGGAGTTGCTAGGGCTGCATTAAGCCTGGCATGTCGTGCAAGAGATCGATAAAAATACTTCTGGCATCCATCCCATGAAGATGATATTTCAGTAAGAAGCCTGTAAAGAGAATCAATATTTTTATTAAAACCACACTCTACCACCATAGACCCTGAAGATTCAGAGACTTTAGAACTGGCAATAGTTGATACAGATTTATTTCTGCATGGATGCATTCATGCAACCAAGTATACATTAGACCTTAATACAATGAATGTATTGTATATTTAGCACCTGAATTATCATAGTAAAATAACTACAATATGTTTTCCTCCCTAAAGTCTTTGTAGTTGTCTTGTGAATGGAAGTTAGAGTCCTAAATTCAGACACAGGAGTGAAGCAGGTAATACTAATGATTAAGGATAGACAAAATTATACATGGTAGTGACAGATGACCTCAAGTGAGGGAAACCTCAGGGGATTAAGAGGACTAGAGAACAATGTCCTGTCAGAAGTCACTAACTGGTGACTAATGAGAATGTAAGCACATCTGGCTGCTGTAAAACCTCCTCCTTTCGTGACTGTGTGTTGAATCCAAAGTTCAAGGCCAAAAATGTTTGAACAAAATTTACAAACTGGCTAAAAAACATGTACAATAACTTTTGTATATATAGCAACATAGAAGAAGAAGCTCTGTCCCAAAAGCTTACAGGCTCTAAAGTTTAGATTATTTTAGAACTTAGAGATAGTAGAGGCAGTAAAAATGTGACCATCCTCTCATATTTCTATCTGTACATTCAAATCAAGTGAGTACACCTCAGGAAATTCAAAGAACCAGAAATGAGGTAACAGCTCAGTGATAATGTACATGCACAAGGCCCTGATTAAATCCTCAGCACACACTCAAACTTACCCATCTATTCACTCACTCACTCATTCACCCACCCACCCACACATCCCTGGAAAGGTGAATATAAGAAAAGAGAAACCAAGAAAAAAATGAACACTTACTAGATGTTTAGCAGGTGCTAGGTGCGAGGCATTTTTATAAAGGTATCATTTTTAATCTTTGTAACAACTCTGCCCAAGACAAATGATTGCTCTCCTCATTTTTGCAAATGAAGACAAACACTTAAATGATGTGTTCTAGTTGTAATTAAAACATGAACAAACCAACCAACCTAGTAGCATCAGCCTCTGGAGTGTTGCTGACTAGAGACAATGCGCTCTGAAGATCTAACGGGTGAAGATAAAGCATCTCTTGAGGACTTTTTGAACGAGCCCAAGCAAGACCTTTACGATATGACAAACCTAGGAAACATACAGCATTCGTTTAAGCAAAGAAACTCAGGTAGAGAGAATATGCCCTCACTGTCCCTGCTACTCGAAATCCTCTGAAGAGCATCACCCAGAAACTTGTCTGAATTGCAAGTAACTGGGTATGGTGATATAAACTTGTCATCCCAGCTTTTGAGAGTGATGCAGGCAGATCAAAAGAAAAAGGCCAGGTGGGCTATACAGCAATAAATAAATACATACTCAGTCCCAATCTGCTCAACATAGAGACAGGATAAGCAAATGCATTTCAACAAGATTCCTGGAGTAGGGGCTTAGTTTTTCTTTTAAATTTATTTGTAAAGATGCTGTGCAGAGGGGTTACAGTTGCATTAGTAAGGTAATGAGTACATTTCTTGTTAAACATTGTTAGCCCCTCCTTTTTTTCCTACTATCCCCTCTTCCCAGCCCACTAAAGTTGTAAAGATCATTTCCAACATAGTGTCTTGTGAGTATGATTATTGCAATGGGTCATCCTGTGTCCTTGTTTCAGCATTTTGCTATTTCTCTTCCCCTCCCCAAATTAGACAAATGTATATACTAGATGCAGGATACTAAAATCAAATACAGTGATAAGAGGGGATATACCATAGGGGGAAGAACACACACACACACACAAAAAAACAAAACAAAAACAATCACATAGTACAATAAAAACAACAACAAAGAAAAACCTCTTGTGTCTGTATCTTGGGGTTCATTTCGCTTAGCATCATCTTATAGGTTCATATGTATATAGCTTTTGAGATTTTCTGCTTATCTGGTAAGATTATCCTAGATGTACACTAGTTATTGCAAATAAGGGAAACCATATAGGGACCTATATTTCTTTGGGTCTGCCTTACTTCACTTAATATGATTTTTTCCCAAGTATTTCCATTTCCTAACAAATGGGGTGGTGTCGTTCTTTCTGATGGAAGCACAGGATTGCATTGTGCACATTCACACACACACACACACACACACACACACACACACACACACACAC